TAACTTATTTTTTAAAAATAATAACATTATTTTATTTATCTATTTTTATGTGGTGCTGAGGATTGAACCCAGTACATCACACATGTTAGGCAAGCACTGTACCACTGACCCACAATTGCAAACACCAAGTATCCATTGTATTAATAATTCTCTCAGTAAATATTTTTTACGAATTATAGAGTAATCACAAATATGTATAAATGAAATGAACCAGTTTTCATGGCAAATTTGCTTTTGTTTCTACTATCATTTTTCAAATTATTAATAGATGACATTGCTAGCTAATATTTTAATCTTCCTTCTTCTTATTTAATTTTCTGATTATATTTTAGAAATCTATGCCTATTGTTGGCAAAGTAATGGTGACCCCTGCTTTATTAATGGCTACAAATGGTAAAGATATGTTGTAATAAAATTCTTTTAACTGAGCCTTCTTCACCAAATCTCAACACAGATTCTTTTTCTACAAGCCTTTTAGACCTCATCTTATGTTTAAAGACCAAATTGTGTAGGCAACATAAATGTACCTGATGATCCTTTATGTTGATTTCAAGATTATCTCTTTCTGGTGAGTGCCCAAGGAGCTGGCATTGCTTATAGAGCAAGCACAATAGGAACTTAAATATGTACTGCAAAGGAGACTTAAGCATCTACATCTCTGCATTCCAGGATGTTCTAAGGAAGTCTTTTCAGAAGTTCTGCTGCAGAAGCACACAAGACCAACATGCCTGCTTGGAGAAGTGTACTCATTAGGAATATTCTTTCCCAGCTGTTAGCTCTCTATAGTGGAGGGATCCATCTAAAGCATCATGTCCTTGATGACCTTATGGTAGAATTGAGGAATGTCTTCAGATAGGCAGAGTAAGGTAAGAATCCCCTGCTATATCCACAGACAATAATGAGAAGGTGATGGGAAAGCTCAGTCATCTAAGAGAAATGTAACTCCAGACCCTGTTCTGAAAGGATTGAGAGAGAGCTCCATGGTAAATATTTGGGAAGAAGTAACAGTAGACAAGGGAGAGTTTAGGTTTGCTTGGGGAAGTGGAAGCAGGAAAGGCAATCTCTCAAGAAGTAAGGCTATCCAGTTAGGCTAATGCATTTCTAGAGGTAAACTGCTCAGCATGCCATCAAGAAAATCTCTAAAGACATTCACTTTGAAATGCAAAAATTGCGGAGCATGGGTAGCCAGCCATAACTGGACTCTGGTTCCTGACTACTGTTAATGAGAAGACTCAAGATATATCACTTGATAATAAAAATCCATACTGTGAATCCTTCCTTGGGAAGAATATTGAATTACTTGACTGCTAAGACCCCATCCAACCCAAAAATTATGATTTTAAGATATTAAATATTGACAGACAAATAACATGGACTCAATAAATATTTGCCCATATGAACATAATTGGATTGACCTCAGTTTTTCTAATTCTCATAAAGAAATGTATGAGCTTCTTTTTTCTTTGAAAGTCTTACTACATTTACATTACTCACTACATTTCCCTGAGAAAATCTGCAAGGTAGAACTCATCCTACTAACTATATTTCAAAGGGCAAATTGCCTTTGGTGGTTTATTTTTGAGAGTCCTTTCCCTCCCTAAAGTTATTATTCCAAATATAAGTTTTCACATCTTTTATCTAAAAATAAATTACCTGAATTTGATTGCATATAGGTTCATAGAATAATGAACATGGATTTTTGCTTAACATATATCCGTTTGTTTCTTGCAAAGATACTTTATGATTTATGTTCCTTAATGACCTACTTATTTGAAAAAAAATACAAAAATACAAATCTCAATGAGTTTTATGGAATGAGTTAAAATATCATGCATTTCGTTCTTTTAAYAATAATACAAACATCCTTGTCTTTCATCCCAAATCACAGAATTTAGTGAGGAGATAGAAAAGAGAATTGTTATAGAAGATGAATGAACCACATGATGGACAAAGGATCATAGAAATAATACAAAGGTTTCTTTAAATTCAAAAATAAGTCT